AGGCGCGCAACAAGAACGAATCGTCGAAAGTTGTATAGAAGAGGGCAAGAAAGAGAAATGGTTTCGTAACCGCGAGTATCGCCGACCATAAGCAGATAACGAACGACACACCGCTCGAGCGTTAAACCGTTACAATGGAAAGCTTAAAAACGTTGAGGTGCTCTCTCCCCGTAGCTAGAAAAAGAGAGGGCAAAACGCGCGGTGTGCATGCACCTGGATCGCGTTCCTCGCGTTGCACCGATATGGTCGCGTTATCTGTCGGCCCCGACCACCCGGCCGCCGGTCAGAGCACCACACAACGCTCCGGCACACCTACGTAACGAGGTACGAGAGTGTGTCGCGTACACAGGGCAGCAGATAGGTCGCAGGAAGTCGTAATCTCGTTGGTGGAGTGCGTACTTAGCTTAGACGCGATGTTTTCTCGGCTGCGACGCGGCTGGACGCCTCGATTACCCGCTCGTTAGTCCGGAACGAGGGATCATAATTCGCACGGCGAAACAATAACGGCAGGAAGCTGCCATGTAACGCGTGGGAGCGATTAAGTATCGCGCGATCCGATGCAGGGAAAAAGGAGCATAAAGAGAGAGAAGAGAGAGAGAGAGAATGACGTAGAGGATCGAGAACCTAGAAGAGAAGAATCCCCGTGTGTTGCCCGGGCTTTAAACCGGGGAACGAGCGAGTAATTCGCGACGATCGATCCGCTCGGGCGGCCGAGTCTGTAAGCTAATTTCACGTCGAATAAAAGCGTCTAATGCCGGAGCCAAGGGAAAATCCGTTTAGCTTGGGCCAGGCTTCTCAAGATAAATTGGTTTCAGGGGGGGATTTCTAAAGCGGCTCCTACGGCGCAGGAAGTTCGGAGGGTGTAGAAGCGAGAGGATCCTTTGTAACTCGGAAAGGGCCTCTTTCTCCCCGGAGAGACAGAATCCTTCCCGGTGACGGCGAGGAAACGCCTGGACCCGATGTGAACGTCAACCGCGATCTGACAATGCTTTAGGAAACGTAGATCGTTGCGATGCTTGGGGTTCGACCGTGGGGGAGCCTCGGCTTCTCTCCGTGGTGAACGACAAAAACCAGTATTTCCGACCTGCCGGCCAGTTGTACGGTCCCGCTTCTGAGGACTTCATCCCGATACTCCTCGCTCCGTCACGCGTTGAAAAACACGGGAAAACAGAGTTTCCATCCCTTCCATCGGTCAGGTGGTCGCTCTATTTGGACGTGCCAGCGCTGCGAGTGCAGCCCGTAAGACTTCGTCGACTTCAGCTTGTATATGTGTAGGTGCACGACAGCACAGGAGGACGGATTGACATTATGGATGGAAAAAAAAATCATAGATCGTTTTACGGCGGTCGAATACATTAAAATATCGTTGCAACACATTTAAAATAGTTTCACTCATTCGTTTCACTGTGCAGCAGGTCGTATAATTGCAATAGTACCGTTTAATAGAAATGCTTTGGTCTATTCGTATTTAAGAATTGCACGCAATTTAGTAAAATGAAAATAGTGCTGGCAGAGTTAGACGAACTTCTCAGACTCGCCGGAGCGGCGACGGTCATTCAGCAACTTTTCATTCTTCCGCTGGTTTCTACCTTCTAAACGAAGGAACAGAGTTTTTAGAACTCCTTTCCGACGGTGAAAAGCTATGCAGCGAGTCTGCGATCATTGTCTCCAAAGATCTCGGTCTCATGGAAGCCACTCTTGTCTCGAATAGGGAAACACGGGAACGGCACAGAGTTTGCCTTATTCTTTTGACCAGCGATTCTTTCACGATAGTCGCTAAACGGAGAAACTCGAGTATGCGGAATGAAAGACGGAATCGTAGATCTTCGCGGACAAAGTTCCATTTGGCTCCCACTTGTCTTGTACCCTCTGTAACCCAGCAAAAATCGTTTCCTCGTTTGTGCAAGTTCTTGGGTCTCTCTGTTGGCGACCGGGACGCAGGAGCGTAGCTGGTAAAGACGTTATTATGGAAACTTTCGCTTTGACACCCACCCTCGATCCGGTTTCACCCCCCACCCTCATCCTGGTTCGACCAGAAAGAATGAAATTGAATCCTCGACGCGGGTGCCACAATAAACTCTTTCGCCGCGGAATATTCGTCGCAGACGAGTCGATCGCAAGATCGATCGATAGAAAATAAAAAGAACGATGGATAAAGTTGAGCGCAAACTTTTCCTCGCTCCGTATCGGCCCTCATCGCTCTCCCCTCCCCCTCCCCGTCGTGTTCTCCTTTTCTCTCTTGAATTATTCGTCGCGCGGAAAGTAAAGATATTCTGCGGGGTGAGCAGCGCGGACCATTCGACCGGTGGAAAAAACGATTTTTAGCTGAGGTCGGCAAAGTCTCGATTCGTGCCACTGACTCTTAAAGTTTAAGTTCGACGTCGAATCCCAGCCGCGCATTGTTGCCACGGCCGGAACGATTCTTCGTTCCTCTATTCTGGCCCGTCGAGTTTCGACCTCGCGAAGGGAGGGAGAGACGCCGGAAAAACTTGCGTCGATTGTCTGGGAAATCTTTCCCGCGCCGGTTCGTTAATTAATATCCATCTTTCCCGATAAATCGTACCGAGGAAAACGAGCGAGTCGTGGGCCGGAGTTCTCGAAAAATCCGCGATTCGAGTGACTTTACTGAAATTGTTGGGGCTTGTTGGATTTAATAAGGAATTTTTGTTGGATCTTCGGTAGAGGTAGTCAGTAATTGACACTCAATGATACTTGGAACATTTCTATATTTTGTACAAGCAAAAACCCGCTTATACAGGGTAAGTCTCATAACGTGACTTCGAATAACTCATAAGGTATTTATTAGAAAACAACTTTTATTTGAAGCATTTTTCGCAATTTTGAAAAAAAAAATTTTTCGTCAGCGTCAACACTTAATTGGATATTTCCTTCTATACTTTTTAGCACGTAGCTATTTATTATTAGCATTATTCTTCCGACGTCTGATTTCTTTTTAATTATAGGAAATGCGTTTTCCTAAGGCACATAAACTTTTGGGATTGACTGTATAACCAATACATCCTTAAGACATGTAATAAACATATCAACTTCTGCATTGCATAGCAAAATAAGATATGAGAGGTTAAAATAGCTGGATGTAGCGTTGATCTAAACGAGAACGGCACCTTTGCCACTTGGTCCCGTTATTACGTCGCGTATTCTAGTTAGAGGATCATAATGGACCACCTTGCGCACAGCCGGAACTGCAGTCATCGTCATTGTCGTGCTCCTTAGGTTGGGGTGACGCGAGATCGTAATCAGGACCAATCCTCCCGTCGCTCGTTCTTATGCACCCGTGCCGAGACTCGTTGCCCGACTCTCTCGGGGAGAGAAAAGAGCTACCCCTCCGGTTTCCCGGTTATTCCGGGAGCTGCCGAGGGAAAGTGTCCGTGTCCCGAGGGCTCGAGCCTCCCTTCGGTGCCGCGGAGACGCCGAGGACACGTTTTACAAGAGGGAACACTCCGTATATATATTCATCGGACGGATCGCGAGCTTTTGCGATTATGTACGCTGTCTCGAATCCCAAAATATTTCGCTTCTTTACTAGATGCAAGCATATTTTTCCAGAGCTCATTTACGTACGCTCTAATTCTCTTTCATATAATAAATTCATTGTATACATATGTTTATATGATAATGTATTGTATTAAATGACCCAATTTTTACTCCCTGGCTTCTTTCCTATCGTTTTACACATAATCCAGTGAGTAGAAATTGTAATGTGGAATTGGGACATTTACTACATGTATCGTTATCGTAGGTAGTCGACTATTTAAATATTCAAATGTAATTCAGTAAACTTTATTACTTAGCAGCATCTGAAAAAACCATCGTAACAGATACATTCAATTACGTTTATTATTCATAATATCACAATGCACTCTACTCGTTCGCAATAAGATTCGCTGAAAAGCGAGAGGTGTCGGAGGTATTCCGTGCGTCGCGACCTAACGAGCTCTGGTCGATTAGCATTTTATTGGTGACGCGTCTTGCGATAGCTTTGGGCAGAGAAATAAACGAGGGAGGGACGTAAAACGTTTCATCGTCCATCGGACACGCCTTGTCGCTGCAGGTGTGCTCCACGCTTGTCCGTTATTTATTGCACGAGCCCCTCGGCAGCCTCCTACAAACAGGGCTGGTTTCGTTATTTATACGTCGGACGCGACGCTCATTTTTGCGCTCAAACGGAATTTCGGTCTCGTCCCCTCGCGCGGAGTACCGTCCACCGACGCTGCGTTTCGGAGCCTCGTCTCGGCGAGGTGGATCGCGTGTGCACGGGCCACGGCGACGTGTTTTACACACGGCGTGAAACCCTAGATGGGAACGCTGTTCGTCCGACCGGACCTTCCCGTTCGTCGTGTCCACCTCCGGGGTCGGCCAGTATACTCGGTAAAGATACTCGATCTCGATAGGAGGCAGGTCCCGGAACCGGTCGTGACCGTACCTACGGGAGACATCGTTAATGCCACCGATGGAAATGAACGGCGAGAGACGAAAATCCTCCGGCGGGTCCTGCCTCACGATTTCTGCGTCTGCCAACAGCAACAACGGCAGCGGCAGCGTGTCTCGCGGTTGAGAAAGGAGCAAATCGAATGCCGGGCGGAACGAGGCGAAACCTCTAGGACGATAATTAGCGATCGAGAGGGTCCCGAGGAAGAGAGACCATCGGAGCCACCTCGTTATCCACGCCACGGCGCCCAGCGTGACGTCATCGCGCGTGTGGAAGCTGCGAAAGGGTTATACACAGTGGTACGCGTCGCGTGCATACGCGCGCACACTCGCTTTTAAACAGGTGTGCATGCTCGAGAGAGAGGACGAGCGTTCCTCGAGGTTCGACTGAGTCGGCGGCGGGACAGGGTGAAAGAGAGAGTTGAATAAAGTACGTAAGACGACGGAAGAAAGAGAGAAGTCCGAATACACATCGGGACTGACTCTTGCCGTGGCCGTGTATCTCGTAAACCTACGGGAGAATCCTACGGTTGTGTGGGACGCCACGGTGGAAGGGAGCCGATGCTGAAGGGGATAGAGGTTTGCCGAAGCGTTCCGAAGTCGACCGAAAGTCTGCTCCCACCAACGCCGCGGATCGCTCGGATCTCGGCGTTCCTGTTTCCTTCGGTCGCGTTCACGTCAGTGCGTTCTCGGCCGACGTTAGGGGTGGCTCGTGACTCGATCTGCCGTCCCGCACGTGTATCGTTCGCAATACACCGCGTCGTCGCGTCTCCTTACCGTCGTCGCGTTTCACGTGCGTAACATTTAGATAGCGGAGGCGTGCGCGCCGGGAGTAAATATCTCGAGATACGCCGTCGTGCGTTCGGTCAGTGTATCTGTGCGTGGTCTATAGAGAACGAGAACGCGGACGTGGAATAGAAGGCGCGCGTTGTGTGATCCCGCTGCCGTGTGCAAGCATTCGACTCTGCTCCGCCGTGACACACGTTACCCGTGCGTATATACACGTTTGCGTAGCTGATTTAGTGGCTAGGCTGTGTGCATATAGTGTGTACACACGACCGAGGAGCGGACCGAGTTTAGCCGTGTCTAGTTAGCAGTCGGTCGAGAGGAGAAAAATACCGAGGATAGCAGAGACACGAAAAAGAGTGGAGACCAGCCCGGAAGGAGAAGCGTACGCAGCTAGAAGAACCAGAGAGTGGTGTTCATCCGATTTAGGTGTAATCGGGCGGCTCTATTTCGTTTTCGTTTGCCGTTCACTCCGCTGATAATGGATTAATTCTCGCCGGGGAGTTTTCACCCCGGCGCGGCGGAGCGGCTGATCATAGTCCGGAACAGCGAGGAGCGGTACACACGGCCCATAGCGGCAGCACTCAGCGATAAATCAAGGTGAGATCCGGCTTTGTTTTCGAGAAGGGTGTTCCGATAGCCCCGGCGTACCATTGACCAGCCTTCTCCTCGGCGAACCGTTTCACGTTCTCCTTTTCTTCCGTTTCGCTCTATCCGCAGCCGGTATACTCGCGATTATCTCCGTCCCACCACAAAACGCTGCAAACGAGCATCCACGAGCATGCAGCATATATTTTGTGGCCTCTCGCTTCCCGTCTCTTTCCATCTTCACTCTAGCGTTCCTACCTTCTCTTCCTTTTCCTTTCGGACTCTCTACTCTCGCTCTTCTCGGACTCTTCTTCTTCTCCTCTTCCTCCTCCTCATCCTCCGTCTCTTCACGGCGTGCATAGGGACCAACGAGAAACACATGCACGCAAACTGGCGACCGGCCACCCTACGCTCCACTCTCTTTGCCTCTCTGCTCTTTCCACGGTGCTCCTTTCTGCATTCTGAATGCCGAACGACACACAAGACCTTGCTTCCAATTCCCCCTTCTATTTCGTCGATGCCCGCCCGAATCTCTTTCCTCTAACCCTCTTTTGCGTTCTTTTCCCTCTTTCCCTCTGCGCGCGAGAGATCATCCATGCAAAACGCGATCGATAGTTGCCGGTGTGTACGCGAGACCGGAGACGGTAGGCAGAGAGAACGCTTGCCTTTTTACCAAACACAAACACCCCGTTGTCGCGACGTCGACGACGCTTACGGTCGTGGCGATTCTCGTTTGTGTACCATTGTTTCGTACAGGAGAATCGATACGCGTGTATACGCGTACTTCGAGCTCTGCTAGTTTCGCGAATACCCGCGGTTACTTACGTGTACAAATTGAGGCTGATAGAAGGTGGCTTGGTCGTTTGTATCGATAGCTCGTTTGATTCCTGGCTCAATTCGAATGTACACATTGAGAATGTATGGAAAATTCACGTAGATTCCAGTACCGATGCATGGAAATCATAAAAGAGGATCGTGCCACATTTTTTGTGATTCGATCGGACGAGGAGTCAAATGAGTATTCCGTACGTCACGTGGAATATTCGTGGGATCAATCGGGTCAATAAATCGACGAAACTTGTCACTCCGAATAATAAAACCGTGTTTGCGGTCGTTTAACTTCAACGTAACGCGAATCATTGCGAGATAGATTAATCTTCAGCGATATGAAACTCTTTTACGTAGTAAGAAAGCTGTATAAGTATCATTTCTCTTATTTTCTCGGTTAGTAATTAAGATAGTCGGGCAGATTTTCAACCTCGACACGCTGTGAATAACGGAAAGACCTGCTCGGAAACAATTGTCAGTTCGAAGACAAGTGAAAGTATATAATATTTCTTGTCAAGCAGAAAGAGCGTGGTCAGTGCTCTGTAAAATAACAACGTTTTTCGTTTCGAACGAAAGCGTACGCGTCTGTCTATTGTTTCGAACAGTCGATGTTTCACTCCGACACGTCGTTTGTTGGCTCCATTTGAAACACTTGACGACCGCTGGAAACTTCCCGTTTCGTAGTCGCGTGGCCGTAACATCGTGCTGTATTTTCTGCCGGATGGGTTCCATACGTAAAAACATAGAACACAGTCATGTTGAATTACGTGGACAATGAGCGAACCGTTTCCCGACGCTATCATCTTATCAGTAAGGTCTCACCTTTTTAAAATCTGATCGAGTTCACGGTGACTCACTCTCGAATTAATTGATAAGTGAACGCTCGTGATTTATGGCTATTATCTCATTTATAATGGTACGGTCTAAAATTGTAAATGTGTCGATTTCTTTTTGCTCGGATAACGATTTTGTGCAACTGTTTCACAGTTAGTTGCGATACGGAGAAACATTTTTATTCAATGTATACCAGCGCGTGATTATAATAACACAGGAAACTGTCCTTTCGTGTTTCAATAAAAAATTGCGTTCAGTCAGGTGAGATTTGAAACAGATAACAATTTCTGACAAGTTTATAAACTGCACAGAATCTTTCGCATGAGGAGATCAAAACTGGAATCAAATTGGACGCAATAAACCGCGTTATGACACGTCCCTCTCTAAAGTGTAATTAAATTGTCGAAAAAAATATCGCTTGCATAAAACATTTCGAGTCTTTCACGCTGTAGAAATCCCGGCCCCGTCGTACTCGCGTTCACATCGTACATTTCAATTAGCGTTTCCACCAGCGAGATACGAAACAAGAACGCGCGTTAGCGAGGCAACGAGCGTAGCGATCAGTCATCGAGCGGAGAGAAAGAATCGCCAGTTTCTCGCGGTCGAGTTGTTTACGTGATGCGGAGTAAAGTCTCGTCGGGCGTTTATTTGCATAAACGTAGGTTCCACGTGCATATGTGCGTACGCGTACGACGCGGCCTTGATCGAAGTCCTTATTCGAAACGTGGTCTCATCGCGTATGAATAGCAGGTACGCAATTACGAGAGCGCACAGATGTCATCGGCGAGCAGACGTTGACGAGGCTCGTTGATTGTTCAACCAGGATTCGAGTCTCATTGCTCTACGCCCGGGACGATTCGGCCCGTTCGGATCGCTCGATCTTTCGTTCTTTTTTTTTTTCAGAGATTCATTTAGCTATGCATGGAAATATACAAACTAAAACAATACACTTTCTGTCGCTATCGTCTTAACATAATCGTTTGAATTTTTAAATTGCACATTTTGAAAAAAGAAAAAGCACATCGGCAAGCCTTAATGTTTGGAAAAGCAATGAACATTTCGACACGAAAAGCGGGATAAAGTTTAAATACCTGTAACTGCTTAATCAAAAAAAGAGCGCTGAGAATTTGAGCCAGGTCTCAACAATTACAAAAACAGATCTTTCGTTCAAATCACGTTCATTGTACGTTTGTATAAATATCAGTGTGTCATACTCTTTAATACGTTTATGAATATCACAATTCGTTTTATCTCTTCCTTAAGTTTTCCTTAATACCAGGCTGTCGTTTTATGAGTAGATACGTACGTGCATAGTGCGAATTTAATATAGACTCTCCTAGTCATAAATACAGGGATATGCAAATGTTTCCTGCATTCACGACAGGCACGCCTCGATCGTTAATAATTGCAGCGTCAACGAGACGAAAGTGACTTCTTTATACATACACAGTGTGATTGTCATTAATATTCTCACTTCTAAATAGAATAACATTTTATCATTAGATCGAACAACTTCATTTGGTTTGCTCCGATGTGAAATGTTAATATTAATAATTATGTTTATAATTATTTTCGAATATTAATAGAAGTCGTTGTGTATACTCGCTTAGTCCTACCAGTACTTCGCCACGGTATTCTTAATCTGATTATGTTTCTTCAGTATTTTTGTATCGTCAACGGTGAAGCGAACCGTGTAAACGGGTGACCGTGAAAAATGGGGAAAGTCGTTAGACCGAAAAAACATCGGGAAAGCGTCGAGGCGTCGACAAAAGAAATCCTTTTCTTTCCCCGCTCCTATTGGTTCGGCTAATTAAGGCACGCGATTATTGGTGCGTCGATAAGTGTTATAAATAAAGCGCTCTCCTGATATCCCCTTTGATGGCAAATGGTCGCGAGTCGATTGTCGAACGAGGGTACATCGAGTGCATATGCGTGCTTGATGAGTTATTAAATGAGATTGCCTTTGAACCGACGGCCTTGTAAATAAATCCTCTTTGGCGTCTGTGATTTAGATAAGATTCTCTCTATCCTCTACTATTTGCGATCCGTAATCGTTCCGCGAGTTGGAAACATCTGACTCTGATGGAAATCAAATCTTTGCTATTCATCGTTTGACATAAGCGTCACTTTGTTTTCTCACAACAATGCACCAATTCATTCTACGGCTCTCGTTCGAGGAGCTATTAATGTCTCGAAACTCGTTTGTTGCGTTCAAGGAAGTCTTCCAATACCAAATTAGGAAGCGTCATTGTTCGCTTTTCACGATCCTGTATTTTATAACCGCACTTGTCTGTCGATTCTTGACACCGGTTCCGCGCAAAAGGAGCGCGAAAACCGGACGACGAGGCGACGCGTGAAGCTCGCGTCCACGCGTGAGAAATGACGGCCGGGAAAGCGTGCAAAGGTAAACTAGACGGCATCGTAGCGGGACGGCAATAATTAGTCATGTTGCTCGGGCGAGTCAGGCATCGCGCCGTTTGCCAAACCAATAAGAATAAGTCAAATCCGCGAGCTCGTTTCTCGTGATGTATCGCCGCCCAGGTGGGTGATGTCGCCTGTTCTTGGTCATCCTTTTGGAACGTTTCTGAAACCCGGAGACAACGCGATGAATACGTTCCTCGTAACTACCTCGTTCCGCGCGTTAAACGCGGCGAACGTTTCCGACGAAAATATATAGACCAGCAGAGTGCCTGTGAGTATCCATCGGTAGTTTAAACCGACTCGCATGCATCGAGAACTCTAATTGAATCTCAACCTCCGCGGTGATAACTTCGACTGAATATTTCGGCGATTTCATTTCGTTTTAGAATAAGCACTCGAGTCACGTTCAAAGACGCGGTGTAACTTCGAGCCAGCAATTAACGTTAGCGCGTACTTACTCCGGCTGTTCGCTCATAATCTGAAGCGAGCGAACTAGGGACGCGTTATCGCTAGAGAGGCGTCCGTATCTGATAGGAAGGCGATATTCGAGTTTCGCGGCACGAGGTTTTTTTATCACGGCCGCGTGTGTTTCCGTTCGAACGACACGGTGGAATAAATATCGGGCCGAGGTTGGAAGGCGAAGAAAAAACATACGGGCCGCAAATATCGCCGTCGCCGTGGTCTGGTGCAAATTTAACGAGAGCGGCGGGGACTTTCTCCCTCTGATTCTCTTTCTCTCGGAGGCAGGAAGGAAGCTGCCCCGCTACACGATAGTCGTAAAAAGGCCGGAGAGATAAACGACGCCGAGGTTTTCTTTTTCTTTCCTCTCTCCCCGCCGCGTTTTCTGCTCCTTTTTTTTCTCTCAGTGGCCAGATTTGATCGGACGAAGTCCGTGTTCCGCTTTTAGCTCGGTTATCGCCGCGAGCGTC